GTCAAGCACTGTGATTCTAAAGGTTGGCTGCAAAATTTATCGATAATTTGTGTTTTGGCTCTCCAAAGCGTATACATTTGAAAATCTTGCATTACAGTGAGGATGGATAAATTAAGTAAGATTTTTATGTGCTGAAGCTTTCAAAAACATGGCCAGTGCACTTCCATTTGCCTTTAATAGAGAGAGGCCAACTTTTTACCACCTCCAAACCTCTTATGCGTTTATGTACTTCATAAATGCAAAGAAAGTAAGCCGCAGTAGCAGTGAGCTTTGTCAGCTAAGGCTAAGCGAAGTGCATCAGCAGCTGAGTTTGTCAAATAAATCTACCCATTCAACCACACAGCTTACCAGATGCTGGTGGTATAGTATCATGCAATCGTGTGTCAACCAACATTTAACCCGAAATACACTGAAGAAAAAGATCTTTCGCCATTAGCGTGGACAGCAAACATTTAGATTATGATCTAAAGCGCGAGTGTGGACTGGAGACTTTTGAGAAATACACTGCATTTTCAGTCGTGTCCATGTTCCTCTGTCTTAGTGGGTATGGTTTTATTCTGGCTGGAAAGTGTGTATGAAATGGTTCTGTATATGTTACCTTGGTGAGCCTTCATGAGTTATTATATTATAATTGAATCAGGTGCTGTGTGGTTAATCACATAGCCATTCCAGTGTATTAGGCCACTTGAGAAAGTGGATCTTGAGTGCTACCAGATGCCAAAATTTAACTGGTGTTTAGATTTGTGTGTGGTATGTACCAGTGTATGCCTGCAAGATGACCTGAAGCTACCTATAATAATATCAGACTTCAGTCTCTACACTAAAATGTGATGGGGTTTTTTTGTCTTAAACATGTTGTTGTTTACCCAAATTGTTTTAGCCAGCAACTAGGAGAAATCTACATTTGGTCTAAGACACAGTTGGAGTTTGTCAACGGAAATATTCCTTACAACACAGTCACATCCTCTTCTCTTACTTTCTGTTGCTCTACAGCTGGAAGCTATGACTAATAAATGATGTAGCACGTGGATAAGAGAAGATAAAGGGGCAGACTGGAAAGTTGGGGCAGTGGGGTGGGGGGGGTGACATATAGAAAAACTACAATGTAATATATCATAGCACAGTGATACAAATGCACTTAGGAGAGATGATTAAATTACAGACATAAAAGTAGGACACAACCAATGTGCTTCAGTTAACTTCTCCCTGTTCACTGGGATCCAGAATGATTTACTATCTGACTTAAGATGATTTAATTTGCTGTGATGAATAATGTAAATAAAACCATAGACTTAACTAATTCACATGGAATAAGATGGAATAATTGACATTTCAGTTTTCGTCAACAAAATGTGACATTTTATTGATTTTATGCACTAAAGCAGACAGTAATCTGACTGCTCCCTGTTATGAATAGTATTTCACATACCATTCTGCCAATACACTGATTATGTTTTCATTCTCAAAACATAACACAATGACAGTCTCTATTTTCGGTGTTCACATATAGTATGTCACTGTCCAGCTGAACTGGCTGCCCTTCCATGTTAAGCGCATATAAATGACAGCTGTCATAAGCATTAGAAAAGATTAAACCCGATTTATGGGAATATATACATTCTCTGTAATCTTTGCGAAATTCTGTTTAAAAGTAACAAACAACACCTCCATCTCAGTTAGCACATGTTGGGAAGTGGTTTCTTTCTTTCTTTTTTTTTTTTTTTTTTACCAGAAAATGCCTGCGTGACAGTTTTCATGGAAAATTCGACCTGGTATGAGTTTGTAGGTAGCACAGGATTATACTCTTAACGGCTTTAATGGGTATTCTGTAACGGCATTATATTTAGAAAGAGCCACCGCCTTACAAGGTTCTGGCCACTATTATGGAATTCTATTGTCACTACTGCTTTTATTTTGCTTTCAAATCTCTAAAGCACCGAAAATTCCCCCCATATTTACTGTAAACATAATCTGCATTATTCTTTAACGTGTTGACATTGTTGACATATCATTTTACTCTCCAGATCATCCACCAAAAAAAGCAAAAAAAAAAAAAAAAAAAGGCAAAAGCATTTAGGTTTGCACTTTAGAACAGCCACAGTCACAGATTAAGCTGGGTGCATTAATGGATTATAGGACAATGTTTTTTTCATACTTGACTCGCACTGCTCCACAGTCACTCAGATGACGTAGTGGGATTATTGTACAATACTGCAACCACTTTTCTCTAAACAGAAGTGATAGGGAGACAGCAATGGCTGCATGGATCACTATGGGAGCATAGTGGAGGTTGAGATAAAATTTGAGGATGCTTATGATCTACATGTCATTAGACATAAAGTTAACATAGTTTCTTTTCTTAACATGTAGTAGTTGATGAAAACTAAATTGAATTACTGAGCTCTGTGTCATAAAATGTGCTCACATTTTACTCATCTCACCAAGCTGCTACTTTTAGAGAGCACAGATGTAATGTCTCTGGGTCAAAAGTGAGTGGCAACAGAAAAAATGCCCAAAAAATGTTTGCATGCGTTCAGATATTGAATATGGATAATCCTAACAGTGTCATTTAACGTCATAACTGTCCTTGCTCAACCTAACTGCAGTTTACTGTGTAAATACTGTATATAGTAAATATGGGCAAAGATCTGCCGATACCAAATGGTTTTCATTTTACATCTAAGAGTTGACGTTTGGATTTTTGGGATTTGGACATTAGAGATGACTGCGTGACAAAAAGACCAAATAGTGTGAGTAATTGGTAGTTTCTTGCATTTTCAAAAGGGCTATAAAGAACAAACAAAGAAAAGAAGGTTTGTGTTCATCCAGTGGTGTTTTATTCACTGTTTACCCCTGATTGATCCCAACATCCTGCCCCTCTGAAGCAAAGCAGCGGGTTCTGCTTTACAGACTGACTCAGATTTGCAGTGGGATTTGTAGTGACATGAACCATCACAGGTCATTGGGTTAAGATGGGATGTTGTCTTCCTGGACCATCAAATCCAGGAATGACTGGGAATCAGCCCGTTTCGAAAATAATAGATACGGTGGCACGCTTATACTGGGAAATGGTACGGAGGCACACAATTCGAACTTTGTGCATGTTGATTGGTTCGTGCCCTGAGGCGTTGGGTGGTGAGTGTAAAACAATTCAACTCAATCTCCTTGCATAACGGAGTGATGGTGCATAACCCTTATGTGAGAGTGTTTCAGAGGGGTTTTTCCCCCCCTCCTTCAGTCTGCACACAGTGTACCTACCAAGCTGAACGGATGCTGACTTTAAGACATTAGGTCATCTTTTCTATCTTCAGCACTAATGTTCCCTTACAGAGAAAGAGAGTGACAGTCTGATCTTAGGTGAAGAATGTAATTACAGGACTGGAGAAGTCTTTCACCTTCTGTCATGATACTTTGGCACCTTAGTGGATTCGCATTTCCATTTTACTTCAGTGTTACTTCTGATATCAAGTACGTTTTATGAAAATTTCAACTTTCAGTATATTGCAACACTAACTTACATCCATGCATTTTACATAAATTGTAAAATGAATGAAAATATTTGGGCCATTGAAAAAAAAGCATGCATTTTACCCTTAAAGTGTGCATCAAAAGAAAGCAATCTTATCTGAATCAGGGGGTTTTTGAGACAAGGACCCAAATAAAAAGTCTTTCAAAGAGATCGAAGTGTTGCCACATAACAAAATCTGAAAGGAGAGTGTGTGTTAACAACCTGTCACATGAGGGTTTGGACACAAAGATATCCACCGTCTCCTTTGACAACATTTAAATGTGTGGTCCATGTGAAACTCCGTTCCCAGCAACTTCCAAGGTCAAACACCTTTCAATATGTCATTCCAACCCCCCCGCTCGAGACACAAAAGGAAAATATGTGGCCCAAAGTCGCAACACCATATGAAAAAGAAAGCAAATATTTAATGTTTGTTCTCTCTTCTCTTTATGGTAGGTGGCAAGTTTTGGCTGTCTAAACACACATTTACAACAAACAACCATGTGAGAGGAAACACTGACACTCTATGGAAAGCCATTAAAGGTAGAGTCACTGTCTTCTCCGTGTCAAAATAATCTCTGACTAACAGTAACACTGACCAAAGGATCGTTTTCATTTCACTCAGCAGCTCAGTCTTATGAGGGCTTCGTCACTGGTCTCAAAGGCTTATAAACCATAGTCGAGAGTGTGGTTTTGAAACTCACATCCATCTAAAGTGACGGGTCAGTAAACATCAGGATATGTGAGTCAACCTGAAGAGTACAAATCCCTTGCATCTTTTTTTTTTTTTCAAACCCCTTTTGACAAAAATCATTGTGTGTATATCTAATTGGAATAAACTCAGTTTGTAAATTGAGTTGACCGGATGAATTTATTTCACAGGCGGAAAATACAAACATAAGTGCACTAATTGCCACTTTGTGATTAAAAAACACCAAACTACGGCTTTTAAACTGAAATAAGAAAAGGACAATGTGATCCATCAAATTAAGTTAAGGAAAGAAGGAAAAGAATGTCTTTGTCATTGTTCTCCCATTGCCACTGTGATTTACTGCTTACTTTATTTTGAAAAGACATTAATGGGAAACATGACTTTGATGGGACAGTTAGGTCTACCTTTATAGAATACATAATACTTTACCAAAGTTAAAATGGAGGACTTTCCTAAAGGTCTGTGAGTAGCCTAATAGTAGTTTATATTGCATAAAACACTTTTTTAAATACATTTTGAAGCATATATATATATATATATATATTCATTTAGATGGATATATAAATATATATTCATTTGGCGATAATATTATTTTTTTTTTTTTTACATTACAAAATAAAAGCTTTGATCTGTAAAGCATATTTTGAACAATCTTTATATTATATTTTTTGTATCTTTTTAACATTTACACAGAGGAGTAGTCTAGTCTACTCTATTCATTTAACTAAGCTTTAAGGTATATAAATTGCCAGTGCCATAATCTCTGACTTTGGGGAATGGATGGAAATAAAGAAAACTTTAACGCACAGCTTTCAGAGTGGATTTCAACAAAGAACAACGGGGATTCTAATGATTCTTACATGTTCTCAGGCTGCCTGGTTATGTTCCTGTGTTGTGGACTCGGTGGAAGTGTTGGATTGTTTAAATTGTAACCGCTAGAGGGATACATATACGCCTTTCAAACTCCGTAAACACCATCCTATCACTGTGTGCCATAGAGAGAATTACCGTCAGTGAGAGTTGCCTACCTGTGTGACTTCCCACTTTGAGAGAGAGAAAAAAAAACACACGCACACACAGACACGCACACACAGACACACACACACAGACACACATACAGACACACACAGCCCCGGAACATTTGAAACATGAGTTGTTCTTAAAAAGACTTAGAGAGAAACTGCCTCTAAAGCGGACGACGAGCTCCGACTCCTCGAAGTGTATCTGCTTCAGGCAATCAATGAGGACCGCGATGCTTACTTCTGCAGCTCTCTGTCCCTCTTTCTCTCATTCGCCTCACCAGATATTATAGTGCATTTCAACTTTTGTGCAGGCACACAGGCAAAAAAAAAGGGAAGTTTGGATTCCAATTTTTTTGATCACAAATTCACCTCTTGTTTCCTGTAATAAATATGAGAGGTCGGTTTGTTGTCACTTTTCTTTGGAATTTAACATGTGCCATTTCTTATGCTGTTTTACGGGTAGGATAAGGAAAACAACAAAAAGGTGTGACAAGAGCTTGGCGGACAACTGTGGATTTCTGCGAGTAACTCCTACCGTCCAAAGGGGATGAGGGGGGCATCGGCCGGACCCCCCTCTTGATTGATTACTTATTAGTCATCCCTTTGGCTAAATGGGACCCATTGAAAAGGCACCGTGGAACACATACATGAATCAAATATTCCTGTGTCCCCTGAATGTCTCCAGAGTAGTTTTGCTTAAGAGAGGGGGTCGTGGCTTAGCATTATAAAGAGGGAAAAACAGCATAGCTTTATGGGTTTATTTAGACAGTTTCTACGGTTTGACATTCTACCGCTGTAAAAAAAAAAAAAAAAAAAAAAAAGAGAGAAGGAAAAACTCGAGAAGATTCCAAAGAGGAGAACATTGTGGACATACATTTTTTTTTTCTAGTTATTCCGTTGTTTCTTTTATTATTTTTTTCTCTTATTTTAAATATTTTTTTGCCATTTCCTCTCCCGAAAAATGAAACTTTGGACATCTCCCTGGGTGTCTTGCCTGGTGATTCTCATCTTGTGTTTTGGATCAGAGTGCGGGACAGTCCGGAGAAAGGGGAGATCCAAGAGGGAGTTGGTGCGCATTAGGGAGGCGAAAGCCACCATCCCAGGGGCTTGTGCCACACGTCTGCCCCGGGGCAAACGGTCTTTGCCCGGCTTGGAGCGACGGGTGCTTCGCCAGCGTCGGCGCTCCTCACAGGCGGAGGAAAACTCTCCAGACCGCGGGAAAGCTGTCTATTTTACCGGCAGAGGAGATCAGCTCCGGCTGAAGCCCGGCGTGGAGATACCCAGAGGAAATTTCACTCTGGAGATGTGGATCAAACCGGAGGGAGGTCAACGATCACCCACAGTAATTGCAGGTAGGATAGTCTACACATCCTCCCCCCCCACCTTCAATTGTCAACCCAACTCCTTTTTTTATTAGTGAAACTCCAAAGCGAGTTTAATTGGAAAATGAGAACTAAACATGCATATGTGCAATATTTTATCCCAGTGTCATGTAGTGTATCTAACAAAGCAACATGCAGTTTCAGCGAGTTGAAAATGAGTTCATCTATCAGACTAGACAATGATGTAATGCTCAGCGGATATTTTAGGTAGTGCAACCATAGGGTCACTGAAGATTTTGATCACATTTAAGTTGGCCACCTTGCAGAGAGAAAATCGCCGCAATGTGATTTTATTTTTTACGAATGATTTTTCCCTCTTATTTTCTCGTATGAGAATGATGATTTGTGCGGCTTGTGATCATAAGATCTAAGGTGAGGAGTCGGGCAGCAGATATAAGCGACTGCATCATTTGACCGGCAGCTGATGTCACTGTGCGTAAAATGTAATTTCTCTGAACCGACTTGGCTATTTTAAAACTATGATGTAATGGCCAAAACTTTGTGAGCGAGCACGTCGCGTCAGGCACACAAAGCGGGAGAGAGATCTGTTGTGTAGGTGTAGACGCTTAATGCACGCAGCTCAAGCCGCAAAGCTTGAGTGTGTGTGTATGTGTCCCCCACCAACCCACCACCCCCCGAAAAAAAAAATCGACACCTTTGGATTGGCTACCGGAATTACGGGACAGGACTGAGAGATCCAGGGTTCCCCCCCACCACCACCCCCTCCTGCCCCGAAAATGTCCTGCTTGTGTTTGTGCCGTGGCCGTGGTGCTTTCATGGTGACCGTTGGTGTCGTGCACAGTCTCTCCAAAACACAGACCATTGTGCAAAATAACGGGCGGGTTTCTAATTTAAGGCACAATCAGATAGTGATGGTGCATCTGTATCCACTGCGCAGAGGATGAGGACGCACAGACACTTGAGCAGGTCCCCGTCGTCAGAGGAAAGCTTGACACTTGTGCGCACTCCTTTTTGTCCTGCCGGATCTGCAGCCATGCGTAAAGGAGCACCAGAAAGGTGTTAAAAACAGTTCTGCATCATCTGTTTTGACCAATAGCGCTTTTGTGCATTACAGTAGAGGAGAGGTTTTTTTTTTTTTTTGTTGCTTTTCCTTGCCGATAGGGAGCGTTGCATACACAACTCATTGCTTGCTACAGTACTTGTGCAGAAGGCTGCCTTTGAACTGAATTGAACTCCTCAGCCTCCTAGTATGCCAGTCTGCACATTTGGGGACTTGACAAAATCATAGGCTGCTTTATTTTATATTAGCCCCCCACGCGCCACACACACACACACACACACACACACACACACACACACAGATACACACATACATATATAATAACTTATGTGTGTATTATGTGTGCGTTGAGATACAGTACACTTTTAGCCAGTTGGCGGGGACATGCAAAACCAATCCCTTGTAAGAGTCTCAAGCAGAGTGTAGAGGGGGGCGGTGAGAGGGTCTATTGTGACCTGAGTGACTCTTAGATTTAAAGAGGATGGACACAATAACAGGGACATCTGTACAGTATAATGCAGTGCAATACAAGAACACCAACAACAAACACCACAGTGATCACAGGGTTGAATAAACACCTCTGGGACAAAAAGAAAATGACCATTGCACGCTTTACAGATGTGGATCACATTATTTTGTACAGGTGTTGTTGTTATGCCCCCCCCCACACACACACACACACTCACCACCATCATGTAGTTGCTTTTGCCTATCAGAGATTACATGTGTAATCTTGTGTGTTCATTTTTAAGATTTACTTCAATCATGCTCACATCAGTGTGCCAAAGAGGGGACCTAAAGCAAATATGATGACCAAACAAATTCAATAAAGCCTAATCTTTTAATTCCAATTCAGGCCTTAAAAATCCCAGTGCCTCTAAAAATGCTCCATCCGCTTGTTTTGATCCCAGCACAGTGTTGTTTGCAGCAGCAGCTGTTTTTTTTTATTGTGTTGTTTTGACCACTGCCGTTTCTGTCTTTCTTTTTCATTTGTTCTTTGTTGCTTTCTTTCTTCCAGATTTCAATTTACCTTTTTGTTACACGCTGACTTATGTTGTTGTTTTCTGCGCAATTGGTAGGGAATCTCATACTGTGAGCACAGTCTCTGCTTGAAAAATGAAAACTGGAAGCCCTGGAGTGGTCTGGTACTTTGGCATCCTTGACAAACTCTGGTGGCACGTTCTTGTACATGTTTTGAAGTTGTGTCTTGCACACACAGAATACTTTTGACTCTGGAATATATCCAATAAGTAACAATGGATGAGAAAGGGGAACCTTTTGTATTGTATACATTTGTGTCCATTTTTTCTGATTTGACATTACGATGAATTTAACGGTCCAGTGGGTAACATTAAGGAGGATCTATTGGCAGAAATTATACATAATATTATTTTTCATTAATGTATAATCATAATATATAATAACATAATCATAATAATAACTCTGTTTTTGTTGCCTTAGAATGGGCTGTTTTTATCTACAAAGGGAGTGGGTCATCTCTCCCGGAGTCCAGGGCTAGTGCAGAAACCACCATGTTTCTATAGCAGCTCAGAACAGACAAACTGAATACTGGCTCTACATAGGGCCTTTCACGTTTTCCTTGGCCACTGTAATTTCTCCTACATGCTTCAAAGACTGAGCTGTATGCAAGTGATTGCACTACACACTGGCCCCTTAAGTTGTTTAAGTGGAGTTAACCCATTTCCTTGGAGAGGCAGAGCAGGACCATATTTGGGTGAAGAGAATGTTCAGGGATCAATAGTTGTTACTTTATACTTCACAGATGACTTGTCAAATCCTTATCAAACACAAGTTTGAATTGTCCAGTGCCCTTTAAATTGAACCATAAGACTTCTAGAAAAAAGTGTTTCCTGTGCTGTCATTTCCTGAGTATGACAGTTACATGTGGTTAGAATTGATCCCAGGTTTAAAAGCATTTGAAACCTTGTAAGAGTTTATACACGCGCACACATTTGTGCACACACTCACCCATCCACAAATCTACACAATCAGAACACCAAGTTCTGTGTCCAAATGTTATGCAAACTTTGTTGTGCCCTATTAGCCCTTGTATCCGGGTCATGTTGGGTTGTCCCGCATCAAAGGAAGAGGAAAATAAATCACAAGAGGAACAGAGGCTCTCTTCCATGACCTGCTGGGGACAATTATTGCAGACGCTGGCAGATAATTGCGGTGATAACAGATATATTTTGGTCCTGTCTAAAATTTGTTCAAAAACAATTTTCGCTTCTTTGAGAGTCCTTTTTTCATGGATACTTCCTGTTCCATCGCAGTCAAATGTAACTGGGATACTAAGAGGAAGATGAATAATCTTGACATCATGACTAATTACCTGGCAAGTGGTTGCAGTTTGAAGAGGAGTTGAGCACTGATTGTAACACTTATCCTCGGCAATCATTACCTCAACTAAACGTCTTCTTGTTTGTTTGACTCGTTATCATCGTTATGATATGATAGTGCCTTACTGTGCGGTAATGAGTGTTTGGAAAATGGTTGTTGACTATCCCCAGATCCTGATTAACGTCCTGAAGTTTAATAGGGTTTAATAAGGTTTTTTGTGATGACAGTGTTACAGTATAAGTTACAGTGCAGAAAAAAATGTGGTGTCTATTTATGTTGTCTGACATTTAAAAACATGTTTAAGTGCAACTTTTGGTAGATCATTTATGACTAATTAAAACCAGCATTTAGTTTGATTAATTCAAAGTGAAATTTGACAGCCAAGTCAAATGTTTAAAGTGTTTTTAAGCTCTGTGGTGACATTTTTATAATCAATATCCTTGTTATGTTCGTTAAGTTTGTTTTTAAAATATCAATGGAATTTTCCATTGTTTCCTCAGGGAAATTGCTGCGGCAGTCACTTTAGTATGAGTATGAAAAAATGCCTTTCTTTGACCTTTCAGAGCTAGAACAGCTCAAAAGTAAACGGAGTCTTCATTGTTCCCTTCCTCCCTGCTTTTTATCAAGTCCTTGTGACATTTTTCTTTGTGTGTGTATGTGTTTTTTTTTTTTTACTTTTTCTTTTTTCCTGAGTGTGTTTTTCTTGGAAGAAGACAAATGGCAAGTGCGAGGAGGTTGCCTTTGAACCTGACAGGAACAGCTCTCTACCATAGCGTGTGCGCATGCAAATCCCTTTGCGTGTGTGTGGGTGTGTGTTTCTGAGAGGACACAACTGCTCCAGCGTTTCAATTTGTCTGCGCGTATTTGTTCATGAGCATGTATATATACATGTCTGCATAAGTATGTGCATGTGTGTGTGTAGGTGTATTTGAGCGAGCCAGAGGAGGCGCAGTGCAGGGTCTGGAAAAGTGTAGTGTGTTAGATTAATTGAGCATGGCAGAATTATGACAGCTGTTTACACTAGGAGCCCTACAAGCATTTTAGCACACCTTTTAGCCTTGAGTGCACTAGCTGACAGATGGAAGGCTTTTTCCTTCCAGTGTAGTGGAAAGCCTGAAAACGTCATCCACCAAAGGACTGACCTTGATGCTGAACCCAACCTTACTCTTTGAACATTAGTCCATTGAAATACCAAGTTAATGAATGCATGCTGGAGTGTGCATCTAATTAGAAACAGGTCAAAGTTAGCAAGATGTCCTCGCAATCACCATTAGCCAGCCACTTATTGCAAGCTCAGGTAGCCTAATTGATGGGGACCAAAGGCATCTTAGTGGACAAGTACGTTGAGGCAAAGATGTGCTCATCACTATGATAATCAGCTTATAATTTCAGACCATACTAAAGGCAGCACAGACAAATATGAAGGGTATTTACAGGCATGTGATTTACAGATCCCAGAAGCAGCACTAAAGGACACTCCATACCTATATGGGCTGGGTGTACTGGTCACAGATTGAGTGTCTCTGTGGATGGATACAATTGCTACCCTGATAGCAAATCCCAGGTATGTGTTCTTGTGACTGGAGTGGAGTCTTGCTCCTTCTCCAGAATCACCTGTGAACACACAGACTTTCACATGCTGAGATGGAACATGTGAGGCAAGTCAAGGCGCTTCGGAATCTTTGCACATTTTGACTGGACTGTATGGATATATGTACATAGTAATGAACATGCATTAACAAACACACATGCACATACACACAGGCATGAACTTGTGTGCGTGCACACACGTACCTCAACAAGCGCTAAACAAACAAACAGTTAACTTTCAGAGATCCTCTAAGAAGTGAAAACACATTACCATGCTGAAGCTGACATACACGGTCCAAGTGAAACAGGAAAAGGTGTTTTGGTGCCTCTACAAAAACAAGGCTTTAGCAGAAAACTAGCCTTTTCTGGCTACCCCACTGGCAAGGGACATTTACACGTACAGCTTTAAATGCGCTCAGTGTTCACAATTCCCTATACAGAGAGATTTCCATGGGGTCTCCCTTAGCTAAACATGCACTTCAACCCAATTTCCAGGACTACACACACTTAGATATCAAAAAATATGTCATATTAATACATTTGCTCCCTAATCTTAACTACATTTTCAGTCTCCCTCTGGAAATAACACTTTTCACAATATTTCAGAATGATCTATGGAGGGTTCAAAATATATACACTGAAATATAATTTGCATATTGACAGAAAAATGCTGAAATTAAATAAGCAGTAAGGATGGTATGCATGTGACTTCCATATAAAAATGTATATTATTGGAAACAGAAGATGTGGACTGAATGTGTCTGTAAAGTCTCAGCTCTCTTTTTTACTCTTACTCTTACTTAGTTACTCTTTTTATTACTGCTGTTCATTTTCTCGGATGTTCATGTCCACATTCACACCTGGAAATTAAGGCAGGCACATATTAATTGACTTTTTTTCATTCTCTCTCCAGGCCTATACGACAAGTGTTTCTACGCATCCAGTGACCGAGGCTGGCTGCTTGGAATCCAGGCGGTTAGTGAACATGGAAATCGTGACCCCCGCTTCTTCTTCTCTCTTAAAACAGACCGCGCCCACAAAGTGACCTCCATCCACTCCAACACTCGCTATGTACCCAACCAATGGGCACATGTGGCAGTCACATACGATGGTGTGTATATGAAGCTCTTTGTCAATGGCGCCCAAGTGGGCGTCAGTCGGGAGCAATCAGGCGATGTCTTCAGCCATTTGACCAAAAAGTGCAAAGTGCTGATGATAGGGGGGAATGCACTGAATCATAACTACAGGGGGGCAGTGGAAAGGGTGGGTCTATGGAGGCAGGCCCGAGGGCAGAGGCAGATTATCAGGGATATGCAGGGCCAAGAGGACCCCCAAGATCTACCTCAGCTGGTCATTCGTGAAACATTCGAGCACCCAGGCCGGAAGTGGCTGACTGTAAAAGATGGTAGCTTTCCTCAGCCTGAGCAGGGAGGACGATTAGGGTTTCCAGGTGGTGGTGGAATTGGAAATTCTGAGGGATTACTGGACACAACGCTAGAGCCTCCGACTTGTGGTCAAACTGTCTGCGACAATGTTGAGGTCATCAAAAACTACAACCAGCTTTGGAACTTCCGTCGGCCTAAGAAAGTACGATATCGTGTCATAAATATTTGGGACGATGCACGGATGAGGCCAACTGTATCAGACCACCAGATCAGCCTGCAGCACCAGCATCTAAATGATGCCTTTAGCCCCTACAACATCACCTGGGAGCTTAGCATTCACAATGTGACCAATTCCTCCCTTCGAAACCGGTTGATTCTTGCTAACTGTGATATTAGCAAAATTGGAGATGATGCATGTGACCCAGAATGCAACCATCCACTGACAGGGTTTGATGCAGGTGACTGCATGTCTAGTCATCGGAGCCGTTGCCCTGAGCACAAGCAGGGGAATGGTATATGTGACCCTGAATGTAACTGGGACAACTTCTTCTATGATCTTGGCGACTGCTGTAACCCCAATGTGACGGATGTGACCAAGACATGCTTCAACCGCTCTTCTCCACACAAGTAAGATCACTTTCTTCACATTTTGCATTTTATCGTGTTTTCAGCACTGGTAATCCTATTAAGCAGTTGTTTAATAAACACAAGACTTAAATTTACCAAAGAGCTTTAACTAACCACAGCATTCCTTGCTTAATTTGATACATTTTTTGGTTGATGTGATTGAATAATTTTGGTAAACCAACTCCACACCATGGCTTCACATGCTGAGAGTAAATCAAACAACAAATCTTTCCATACATGTGTCCCTGAAGGGAGGTTTTGATGTCTAGTCCTACTGTTTCCTGACCATTTGGGCTGAGGCTGAGTGTAACATAACTCCCAGCCTGTGTGGCCTGGGAAATCCTCCGGGAGCAGCTAGTCCAATCTAGCCTTGGCCTGGTTCAATCAGTGTTCCACACTTAAGCAGGGCAAAACAAACACAACTGGATGACTTTCCTGGTAGCAAATGTGCATACCAGACCACTCATTTTTGTATCAATTTTTCAACAACTCTCCCCACCTTCTTCTACTCTTCTATACCCCATGGTCCTAATTAAGCTGGCTTGATTGGAGAAGGGAGTTGGTTTGGAAAGAGTGACATTCTAAACAGAGTGTAAGGGCAATTAGAGGTCAGGAAAGAGAGTTCAGTATGGCTTTTGCTTGTAGCAATGGAAATAGTTTGAAAGACGTACCACTCTCTCCAGGAAACCACTGAAAGACATGTTTCCTGGGGAGGCAGGTATTGGTCCCTAAACGTGGGTGCCTAAAAGAATTTTCCAGGAAAAACAGTGAATAAAGTTTCACTTTACTTGCGCATGAATAGCAGTATTACAGAATCTCCACTGTACAACAAGCAAGAGATGTGGTTTCATGCGGCTACTTTAGGAGAATACAGAGACCTTTATAAATGCATGCAACTTTTTGTTTTTGTGGTAATCTCATTGTGGCTTGCAGATGATGAGTAAAAGCTGGCATGGAGAACAAATCTCAGGAATTCACAGTAATAAGGTTTGTGCCAGACCTCCAATAGCAGGATTGTTTGTTTCTTGGTACACTGAAACTCAACACAGTAGACTAAGACATTTTTGTGGACAATGCAGGGGGTTTTATGGTTACGCTAGAAAAAGAGACAAAAATGACAAAAATTCTGATGATTGTCAGTATTTCTTGCCACTGTCATGTGGGGACGAGCAAAAGGGAGCAAACTAGTAGACCTTGTGCGTGGGATTGTTTGGGTCTTTCTGATATCGTGAATCAAGGAAACCAGACTGTTTTCAATCACTGTTAAGCTGGAAGCATTGTCTGTTTGGCTCTATACTGTTGTTTAAAATGACCACTAAATAGCTAAATAATGACATCTAATTAACAACATCAGAGGGGAAAAGCAGGTGGGTTTGCCGTTACTTCCATCTCTCAATTCCCACCACATCCCTTGGAGCTTAGTCATCATTAGAAGCTCATTCATCAAGTGGCAGGCAAACTACTTCATTTAGACATCAGCCATTGGCAAAACGCTTGCCGTTGCAATGTTCAAACCTCCCTATGGGCGTTTGAAAGATGGGCTTGTGAAAGGAAGGTTACCAGCAAGAGAGAGAAAGAGACAGACAGAAAGAGGACAAGAGAATTCTCATTCTAAAAAAAAGATATAATCTCCTCAAGTGGTTGCTTATTTTGCTTTGATTATGGTATGTCTGGAGAGACTTGCAGAGAGCTGCACTACAAACAGTTTGACATTCCTCCTTAATTATGGAATTCTGGATGAACAATGTACTGCATATGCAGGGGAACAATGGTTGTGAGGTCCTGCATTTATTTTTGCAGCGTTTGCGCCTGTTACCACTTAAATGTAGTGTTTTCAAAAATCTGGCTAACACAGGACACAGGCAGCTCTGTGGTCCTGCAATAGTCTCTCCTCTGAAAATACCATTGATAATAACCCCCCCCCCTTTCCTTCCCTCCAGATTTGGCTGAGGCAAATATTTTGCATTGTTTTCACAGCTCTTGGTTTTGACACTTCTTATGGTTTGGTAGTATCCGATGTTATCTGACAGCAAGTATTGTAAGGCTGAACATTCTTATGTCTGGAGCTAGGGACATCTGAATTTGTGGCTGTAATTTATACACTGTGAATTTATATTATATGTGCAAAAAGGCTGAAAACAAATAGCACTCTGAATAAGTTGTTTAAAAAGCTGATGTGTAAGTTTGACCGTCTGTGAAAGATGAATGTATTATCCGAGCAACTTGATAGAAGATCAATCCCATAATATCAGAACTCATCAAAGTCAGAGGATTTTTCGAGCACCTGGAATTAAAATGTGTTTTTTGGAAACGCTGCTGAAACTAAAGCAAGATGGATACACAAACTTTGTAAGGTGGGACTATTAGGACTATTTCAGCCTCAATATGTTTTTGGGAAATAGAAGTTCTGGCCTGGGTTTATCAGAGGCTAATAGGTCATCTGTTTTTGCTTGGCCTCTGCCTCTCTCCCCGTCCTGAGTCAATACCTCTCACTGTGGCAGGTTAATGGATGGACCACTCTTTCTCTCTCCTTCACTCCCTCTCTCTGCTGTATTCTAGCTCAGAGCGGGGAGCTAATCTCCAGGGCCCTTGACTTGGGTGTTTTACAGTTGGTCGTCTAAACCTTAAGCCCCCATCCCATAAAACATAATGGAGTGCTTGGGCGTAAATACCAGGACTTTGCACTTCCCCTTTAAAGCCACAGCACACTTATAGAAGCACCTGTTGTCAAGGTTTCACCTGTGCTCTCATGGGGGCAGATAGAAGTCTCTCTGCTTATCTAGGGGACTGAGGGGAAAATGGAGTAAGGAAGGGCTTTACTTGGGCCACTAGGCAGGCAGGGCAGATGCATCTCGCTATGGTGGGATAATATGTTGCCAGACACTGTAGGTGGAAAATTTGACATACCAGGGAATTTAGTTGATAATGCCTTGGCAAGGTCATTGTAGTTCAGAAGTCAAGGAAGAGATGACTGATGAAGACATTGACAGTTTTTTTTGCCTGGGTGTTCACCCCAGTATTACTTCAAATAGGAACTGGGAGAGTTGGGGAGCATTTACACCATCCAATCATCAATTCCATACATCTCCAAATCCTGTTTTTCAAAGTCTTCTCTCTGCAACTAGCAGTCGCGGCAGGATCTCTGGAATCTGAGCATTGACACAGTTCCTATGCATGTGTCTACCTTGGAAGGAAAAAATAATCAGAGGAGTACGCTGGAAGGTTAAAGAGGAGAGTGCAAATATAGTAATAAAGGCAGAGATGAATGATGGGTTTAGGGGCTGTGGTGTTGACCGACTTGATGACAGGGGAGTTGAGGGCCCCCTCCAATTTTAAAAGTGTTCTTGGCTGTGAGACCGTCATTGCCATGCCAGCTCACCCCAGCTTTCACACTATGCTGCCCCAGACATATGTATACAAGGCAAATTTATGGGCGCACATGAATTATATATGGGTGTAAATGAATGAAGTCATAATCCCCCATTTAATATGTATCAGATATAAAAGCATTAATAGGGCAGTTTGAGCTGCCTTGCTCACCCCTGGATCTCCCTACAGCAGATGCCCTGCAGTGATGCTTGAATATAGTGAAGCTCAATTTGCTGCGCTCACCTTACCTTTCTCTGACTCCTTCCCTTAAATGTTCTCTCTTTCATTCTTTTTCTTTGTAAGTCTTTCCCAGGACATGTCTGAAAAGTGCTGTAGTTAAATGCATGGAAAATCCTGTCTTTCCCAAGTGGCTCATCTCGGCTGAAAAAATGTATGATGAGAGGCAAGAGAAGGGAACAGGGGCTAGGGGATGGGGAAATAGTTGAGGGGTGTGTGAGAGAGGGAGAGAACTCTGGGGGCGGGGTAAAGTGGGGATATTGGCGAGGAGGTTTGAGTAAGATGTGGATGGACAGATAGAAAGACAGAGTGTTTGAAAGGCCTTCCTGCAGTGCCTCTACCAAAGCTCTACCAAAACTTAACAAATGTGATCATTAGGACAGTGTGAAATCAAAAACATGCACACACGCATAAGCAGACACACAAAGGGCCTTTTTTTCTCCAATTGATTATACTAAAACTGTCTGTTTCTGCTCTGAAAGTTCTCTTGTGCATCAATCCAGCATGTGATGCACATTGTGTTTTTGTACAAGCGTACAACTACAACAGTGGTAAATTCACTGAACTCAGATTAGTTAAGTTTTGACCCTACAGTAGAATTGCTGCTCTTATTCATTGCTGACTCAATCATTTCAGCATCAAACCCCTCTGACCCTTTTCCCCCCCATGCATGTCCAAAAACTCTGGACAAATATTTTCTAAGGAAATAATGAAATTCCTGAAATTATTAGGAAGAGGGACCTTATATCATCTGTTCTCTCTCTCTCTCTCTCTCTCTCTCTCTCTCTCTCTCTCTCTCTCTCCTTAGACCTGGCCCCAGTGAGTGCCCCCAGTTGCTCTAGCATAGCCTTGAAGAAAGCATTTGCTACACTGAACCCTTTATTCAAAACGTCTGATTTGAGGGAATGCTGCATCTTCACTGAGTAGCTGAGGCTGTAGAGATGTTCTGAAACATTTGTGCATATAAAATGTGCATTGGTGGTAACCTTAGCAGGCCTGTTGCAGTGGGAGAATTATCTCACTGGTGTAAATTCTTCCAGAACACTGCCAAACACTAGTGTGACTGACTTTTGAATTACTTCCTTTAGGCTGCATTGAGCATAGGCTATGAGACAGCTTGGTTTTATACTCAAAAGTAATATTTTATGCAAACATTTCGTTTTCAAACATATAACTATTATTATTTTTTTTTATTATTTAATTTAAAAAATGCTACAGTACAAGTACAAGTACAAAATAGATTATTCAGGTTAACTAGACTAGAATAGTCTAATGATCTATCTAAAAGAATGAATTATATAATAAAAATAACAGAAGCAGCAGTTGAAATTTCTTTTATACATTGAAAAAAAGTACAAAACCTGGCTTATAAAAAGAAACTAGCTTAACACTGAAACTAAAGCGATTCCACCCACACAGTTACACTACTTTTGGCAACCAAATACTCCACTATAATTTAGCTGAAATCTCAAGATGTCAAATTTGATCCCTTCGACTTTAAGCTACAATTTTATGGATATTGGTTTTGTTATCACAGGGCCATTAATCATAAACTGTGTTGCATGTCAGTGAGTCTTGCTGAATGCAATTTTTCAGAAAATTGTGAAATGACAGTAGGCACAGTAGGGAAATTTTAACAGTGTGTAGGCTAAACTGTCAGTGACGACCTCAGCTGGTAAGCTTGAATGTAAGGAAATCAAATTAAATCAAGTGTGTTTGTCCAGTGGAACTGTAACCACCTTATAACTTTACAGCAATTCAATACATGTGTAAATATACTTTATTTTGAGTCAGCTGTTGAGTAGAAGAGTAAATATAAATAGCACACTCCAGGATTATGCACTTCACAAAGGTATGAGTCTTTGAAATTTTTGCTTTTATCCTTATATTTACCTAAGTTCACTAAAGTGGGACAAATGTGATATGCGCTTTTAAAAAATTTACAAAATTACACCTATGTATGTTTTAAAGTAAACAAAAAAGTTAACTCAAGTAAGACCTTGATTGACTTTTACAGACACAATAATTTGTGTTATATTTATATGGAACTGATAAAATTGAAACATTGCACTATTGACATGGCATTTTTTCAAAATGTCTTTCCAAATGTAACATCAAAACAGATGTGGAGTTCATTTAAACAAAAATATGTGATAATGCAGTATAAGTGCAAATCAACCTTGCAACATAGCTACTCAGATATGACCAATCATTCTCTATTATTTGGCAGAGCGTTGTCACTGATTGCACACAAACTGCCATTCCTACTCCTAATCTCATTTTTACAATGCCATCATTTATCAACTTGTTTTCCACCCAGATGATTCATGTTTTGATCCACCCATCACCCTTTTACTATTTATATTCAGGTCTAGCAACCCCACTTCACTTTCACCTAAACCCTTTCATCAAGGTCCATGTTATGCCCGCAAATGCAAAACAAGACTCATTATTTTAATATTTAGCCAACGACTTAGGGATGCGTAGACGGGAAGACGCAGGGTACCATTCACAAGAAAGTGCCAACAGCATAAAAGTTATTTGTTCTAATGAGAGATTACAATGTGTTACATTACAATTTAGGACACATTTAACCATAAAATTAGAAGTACTGTAAGTAATGTACTCTTTTGCTAGGAGGAAACTGTCCCTGTTATATGGGATCAGGTGCAGTAAAGGCATGTTGTTTTAGCCTCTGTGTTATTGCACTTAATATCTAAGCACTTACAAAATAACAGTACAAAATGTAAGACGGGCAAATGGGTCAACTAACTAGGTCAAAACATCCAAAGAGGATCTAATTTGTGATAGTAGGGCCAATGTAATGTTTTGTTTCTGATAAACTCCCTTTTTTGTATCCATTGCATATCTATTTCCATAGCCTTCTAAAGCCAGAGGAAAGGAATAAACTATCACTGTAGCATATGCAAGAGATTATTGACTCTTCCAAGAGATGACTGAGCTTGTTGATGCTGTTTGCCAGGACCACCAGCCAAGCTCATAGAGAAAAACTTGTTTGATGTGTTCATAAAATGAATGACAGTTTCACTGCTGGAAAGATATCTCATTGTGCTGAATGATTGCAGTCGTTAGTGCTGCCGTTAGTACTCCCAGGGCCAAGACAAAACATTATGTCCTGGATAGGGGGAAATCAGAATATCTGAACAATTAATGGAAGTCTCGGGCTGACTTCAATGAGGTTGATCTGAGATGCTATCAGAAATAAATGTTAGAACACATTTTGTTCTATAAATGTGCTCTAAATAAAGAAAAAAAACAGAACCAGTGTTGTTGCTGGGGCACATGGCTTTAGTTCAAGGCCACACTAGCGCCTCATCATGCTTTATAATACATGTATAATACATTATTCAGTATATTTAGGGCCAGTGTGAAGACTCAAATATGTAATGTCAAAGAGCCAAGCAGAAGTCACTACTGTTTATTTCACTCTGGAGTCCATTCATTTTACTGCAGTGCAGCCTGTAAGACCATGAAAAAAACATGTCAGCAATGTCACAATATTAAAATGTCCAAAAATCCCAGATTATTTTTAGTCTCACTGGTAAAGTGGATTTATTCCCACCAGCACCTGTTTGGTACTTATGTGGCTTACCATGACATCTCTTACTGTGTGTCAAATTGAAGAAGGAGCAAACTCGAGGGGATCGTCAAAAACAGACAAAATAATGGAAAAAACATTTTTTATTGTACTGGTTATTGCATGATTCACTGTCTTCCAACATAAAAACATCAGACATCATCATGCACATAAAAACATTGCGGCTTGGCATTTCGTGTCTAAAAGCACTTTACACCCATAGTTGCATATTTGGGGTATTGTACTGTTTATTTGCCTTCTGTACTTCCTAGACAACACTATCAACAACATGGTCTGTAATCACCCTTCCATTGCACAAGTGTAAGTGAGCAGGGACTGCAATGAAATTGAATAGAATGAGAAGAAATGATTTGGTCGAAATTGAAACCAGCCCGATTCGCAGTTCTTTCACCTTATCTGACACCATTTATAACCGCACTGCAGGTGCACAACCACTATGCCAAGCCTTGTAGACACAAAATTACCAAAAATCAGTCTTTTCCAAGTGAGCAAGTGTTTAAAGTGAGTAAAAAGAAACTAAAACATAGATTGTTGTGGGACTATCAAACTTGGAGATGGTTTATAGTGAAGTCAACCTTTTTCTGATCACAGAAAGGAAAATGGTTTTGAGGCACTCTAGGCAAAGCGAGGAGAGAAGTAAGTCTTTATTTGTTTGGGCATATTGGTTAAAACGCCAACTGGTTCCAACCTCACAGGGTCAATTATTCCTATTCAACTTTCATTCTGTTGGTTTAAGGGCCATTGCAACTGCCAATACACTTTAACGAAATATTTAAATTCAACAGGGACCTAATTCTGAGCTCTGTTTTCCTTAAAGATAATACCACATAAACTCTTTCTGGCCAGGAACACTGTTGTTATTTGCCTTGGTGAAATCTGAATTCTCTAGGAGGAGACCATCCTCATTGCAGAGCTATTAACTTAATGTGAAATACTCTTTTTTTTCTTGTTTTTTATATTCCAGAGCCTATTTGGATGTGAAAGAGCTGAAAGAGATTCTGCATTTGGATGGCTCAACTCACCTGAATGTCTTCTTTGCCAATTCTTCTGATGAAGATCTGGCAGGGGTTGCCACTTGGCCCTGGGACAAAGAGGCCCTCACACATTTGGGTAGAAGACAAACATGCATGCATACACACTCACATACACACATGCCTTCTTTGGCGGCCCAGATTGTTGATTTTGAGTAATTACAGTTCAAGCCTCAAGCAGTTTCTGTCTTCATCACAGCTCTAACAGGGAAAAAGGTGATAATGAAGTTGAGGAGGCCCATTAGTAATGCATTGAATTTTACGCCAGTTCCACAACTACCTTACGATACACTAGAAAAAGGCTTTTGTGTTGCGTGCAGTCACTTGAGTGTTTCCAGTGTTTACATTGTGTGTATGTGTGTCTTCTTCCTATCTATTTTCTCAGGTGGAATTGTACTGAACCCTTCCTTCTATGGTACATTTGGTCACACTGACACAATGGTCCATGAGATCGGTCACAGTCTTGGGCTTTACCATGTGTTTCGAGGTATATCAGAGATCGAGTCGTGCAATGATGCATGTTTGGAGACTGAGCCCTCAATGGACACTGGAGATCTGTGTGAGGACACCAACCCCACTCCCAAATACAAAGGCTGCCACGATCCTGAGCCGGGCAATGAAACCTGTGGCTGTCGGCATTTCACACACACACCGTTTAACAACTACATGAGTTATGCAGGTGAGATGGAGCCTCCACATGTGTTTTGCTGCTTACCAGGGCAACGCGTTACAGTTCTACCTCTCACGTGCAAAAACTGACACACAGAGAGAGAGGAATTTGTTGAGTCTGTGTGCATACAGAGACAGGTGTGGAATTTAGCAAGGGCATTTCACGGTAAAAACACAGCAGGGGGCACATCCTTTCATGTCACTCCCTTTGTGCAGTTCAACATTTTTTGTTGTCATTGTTAAATGGAAAAAAATAAACTGCTAAATATGAACTGGTGGTTTATTTTATTTATGGAATCTAGACCTGTGGAATAATTTATTACTTCCTTTTCCTGTCACTGATTAAGCCAAAATCCAATTCCCACTCCTCACAACTGCCTCTGTCACCTGCAGATGATGCCTGCACAGACTCTTTCACACTGAACCAGGTGGCTAGGATGCACTGCTACCTGGACCTCATCTATCAGACCTGGCAACCTGCCTCCAAACCTCCTCCAGTGCCCATGGCACCCCAAGTGGTTGAGCAGCATCATAATTCCATCACCTTAGAATGGTTTCCACCGATTTCTGGACACTTCTACAATAGGTGAAATGAGCTTCATAGGTTTCCATCATTTGTCACATCATTTAACATATTGTCATTAATGTGTCTTTTTTGTATACTGTATGAATTATGTATATTTGGCCTGTATCTAAGTTGGTTGCTGTGCCTGTCTGTTGGTTTCCTAGAGAAGTGGGATCAGTGTGTGATAAATGCACTGAGGGGAGAGTTTTACTGCAGTATGCCTCCAATTCCTCGTCTCCACGGCCGTGTGCACCTTCTGGACACTGGTCCCCACGAGAGGCTGAAGGTACAGTACGATACTATATATACTTACTTATTGTTTATTAAAAAACATTGTGTAGGATTTAGTTGCATCTAGCAGTGTAGTTGCAAGATTACAAGATCCCACTAAATCCTACAGACTGGTACATTTGTGGCTCAAGTGCACATAATAAATGTAAATATGTTTCCCTTTTCCTCCTTCAGTCAGTTTCTTGATTATAATGACCTGTAATGACCTTTTTAAAGTAAATTTAATATAAGAGTAAAGCCACATCCCCCCTTTTATCCCCAGTTTATAGTATGATAACATGATTTGAGGTTTGACTTTTGTTGATTTTCTGAGTCAGTACTCCAACATGCAAAACATTTTGGTGACTGACTCAACCTCAAAACATGCAAATGACTCACTGGATTCATGACACTTGGGCCGTGGGATAACATGGAAGGATCAAGGAGGTCACTTCCCAATGGATGGTGCTGTATGGTACCACAATTCCCATATGAGGGCTCAGGCCCAAAACCAAGGTTAAAGATCATGTGTTAGCTGTAATACCCATTTTTTAAAAATCTAGTTTAGGGGTATTTAAGGGGAAATAAATTTTGAAATTAGTCAGATTTTTGAAAAAAAGAAAGTTTTCCTCTCTTTTGTTTTTCTATTTTTGCCCTGGTCGTGAATCCATATAAGAACATCTATACAGGAACACGCATTAAGGGTGAGGTATTTAAGCTATAAAAATATTTTTTTGTCCCATCTGTACACCTAAATCACAGTCAGTTACGCTGGGCATTATGCCTTGCAAGGTTGTGTTTAGTCAAATATCTCCAGTGTAGCTGTGTTTCCTACTAGTAAAACAAATGTGTAGAGATCTGTATAGTACTGCAGTGGCCTGAATTTGGGAAATTAGGACTACACATGTACTTATTCACAGAGATTTTCAGCAGATGTTCTCTTTAAATGCAGCAAGCTAGTAGCTTACCAGCTGTGTTACCAAGTGAGTGTTGCTGTAAGAGTATGCTGCATTATGGGTTGTTTGTAGACTGAACGTTGCTAGTAAAACTGGTAAAACTGCCAGCTTCAGACTAAGACTAAGTCATACTAGCAGACTAATGACACACTGAGGGAATCCTACAAAAAGGTAAGAGCAAAATTTTTTAAAGTATACTCAAATGACATGTTTACCTTTGACATGATAAAATGCCTCAATAACGAGGACTAACCAAGAAATTTGATAAATTAATTTTGGGGAAACCTTCCCAACTTAAATACAATTAAATAGCTAGACAAAATTGTTACCCTAAGCACTTTGGGACTGCCCATTGTTCCAACAGCCTGTTATCCCAAAAACAAAAGCCCACTACTCCAAAGGCCTGTTTTCCTGAAGATATACACTCTCCCTCGAGTTTTCTGCCCTTAATATCTTCTAAGTTGTATTTGCATGTGACGGAAAGGGCAAAGTCAGGTGACCTTCGCCATCACTGTAACAATAGTTAGGTAACCTTTGTTGTCTTAGGTTAAAAGAAGTAGCTTAAGTTAGTCATGGCAATTAAATTACACACATAAGCTGATGATACCAGATACCAGTCTATTTTCACACAGGGCCTTCACAGCAATGGGCGTTTATTTTCGGAATAACAAGTTGTCGGACATCTGGGCTTTGGGTCCATGCCACAAAGGCATGTCTAAGATATTAGTATACATAGTCCAATATGTGAGTGCATTTAGTCAGCTATATGTAGCTATTACTCATACTTTTAGTTAACTGTAATATATATTGTAATTAACGGTAAGGCTCTGCACAGTCTACTGTCAGCATCCATAACTTAGATGTGGAACCTTTATATCACTGTAAGTTCATGTAGTTTGTCCGACCAAGGTCTATTATCCATCCATTACTCCACCTTTAAATTTGAAAAGCTGACAGGGCTGTCATTGTTCTGGCCCTTACACTCTGGAACCATCTTCCTCCATATATCAGCTAAATCTGTCAGCTTCTTCTTCTGGCAGCATCAGAAATCTTTTATAGGTATCCCTTATTTGTTTAGGAATGTCATATTGGGGTGGCACACTTGTATCTATAGTACCATATATTTGTTTTTCAGCTTTATGTGTTATTTTACTTAATGCTGAGTTTGTTATTGAAATTATAGTTGTAAAATTCCAGCAATTCCAACAGTAGCAGCTAAATTATACTGGTCCACAATAAATACCTATGACAAATAAATAATACTACTAGTGCTACTATTAAGGTGTTGGCATCTGTCTGTACAAACCCGTATATATTTTTCCAATACCAAAGAGTATGTACAATGTTGGTAATGGTGTCTTCTGCTTATTGCCACATTGCTATATTGCATATTGTAGGCTACTTGGATATTTGTTGCAATGCAGATTAATCTTTAATATACGCTACAGAGTAGTCCATTCTAATGGTTGTATAGTCATGACAACAACTTGGTCCGAATTTGTACACCATAGAAACTTAGGTAGCCTACATCTGAAAGAGAAGAAAAGTAAGACCTGCTTAAACTACACTGCAACCAGTGTACAGGACACAACAATCCCTCTTGTGGTAACTTTCCAAAATGTCAATCTTTTTTGTGGTTCCATGTTAATGGTGCAAAATGACAATGCACACGATGAAGAAAAAATGCATACACATCTGAGGAGTTTCGCAACAATGCGTACAAATCTCAGGAGTTTAGCAAATCTAGGGTTACCATCGAGACACAACCCCATGTTCATGCCACACAATCCAATATTTGTAGTGAGGGTCAGTAATCGTTGCCTCACTAGATAGCCAAACTTCTTTCATGTACAGCATCAAGCCTATATTTATTAAATCATTTTTGCCATGACTTGGTTTTAAAGTTAAAGTAGCATAGTAGTAGTTATAGTCATTGATCACCAAAGTATATAAATGTAGACCACTGATTCCTAAACTGCATGGAATAAATAATAATGATAATAATAATAATAATAATAATAATAATAATAATAATAATAATAAAATGCCAAACTATTTCATTTACAGAATTCTTTGCATATCTATCTCTGATTGGGTCACTTTGACGTTTATGTGCATGTTTGTGTGTGTGTGTGTGTGTGTGTGTGTGTGTGTTTGTGGATGATCCATAGATTCTAAAGTCACTGAACCTTGCCTTCACACTGGCCATAGTGTTTGTACCAGAGGCAAGTCTGGGCTTGTCTGACATGCTGTGTGTGTAAACTGTACTCTATTTTCCCCCTTGGAAGGGGTCCCTGTTTGTGGCAGCTCCCCATTCCCTATTAACTCTGCTTGGGCCAGCTTCTCACTGGATACCACAGCTGCTGTTTCCTGCTGTGATGGTGCATGTGTCCAGCAGTTACTAACTTCCAAAAGACATTCTGGCAAACTACTGGCTCTAAGATACTACAAACTTAAGTATCAACATATTAACTATTGGCATAACATCCTCATGCCAGAAAATAAGTGTGTTAACGTATGCACTTATGTGACTGTGCATCAGCATGAATGCATACACATCGCACCTGTTCTAAGGACTTGTGGGCTGTGCCCTCACATTTCTTGACTGGTAAACACTAGCGTGGTCAGAGCCAGAGTGCCTCCCATAAATCTTTAGTACTCTGTGCTATGGCTGGAGTAAAAAAAAGCAAGAATGAAAAAAAAGGCAAAAACACACATGGATATAGATTCAGAGAGGGAGTAAGATAGGTTGGGTGGGGTGAAAACCACCCAAGATAGTTAAGAGAATTGCATGTGGTTAGTGACATTCACAAGGGAGGATCCTGGGTTGATTGAAAACAGCAGTGTTGCATGAATGGAAGTGAAAGGTCCAAGATGTGGATGTTCACCATCATGTGTGTAGGAATGTGTGTGTGTGTGTGTGTGTGTAGCTCTAAGCAAATACACACTCCTATTATATTGTATGTGCACATTGAGGTTTTTTTTCCAAAATGATTAATTATGTGCATTTGCAATATACAGAATGTTCAAAATGTTTGCTTGTGTGTAAATATGTATGGATTTACAACAAGTCTTAACAGCAAACATATGTCCGCCTGGTGAATTGGTCCAAGATATTATTAGAAGAAATACAGTATCAGACCTGGCTGGTTTGTGTGATGTCACACAGGGATTGTCCGCCCGACATTATTCAGTGCCATTGTTCCGATAGTCCATTATTCCGAAACCTCAGTAGTCAGAAAAGTGTCACATTGGACCGAAAGCCTAATTGTCCGACAGCCTGTTATTCTGAAAACAAATGCCCTTTGTCACGGGTGGAGGGTGCAAGGTAGCAGTGGATGGACCCAAATGCAGATGACAGAAGCAGATATTACGGTTCAGTGATTTAACATAAAAAAATGTGGAGATATACAAGTTTAAAAGATAGTGAAGCAACAACAACAACAACACTACGGAAACTAAACTTGATAATCTGGCAGGAAACAAATGTAATCAAAATGTTGATTAGGGAGTAGGTCAGGTAACTGCAGGAGAAGTGGGAACAGGTGTGTAGATGAGGAAATGAGGAAATGAGGGAAAGTCCAAGGGCATCTGGTGGAAAGGTGGAGAATGGCAGATCTATGGATCAGAGGAAAGTACGTGCTCCCGGAGAAGTGAAAATGTGGCAGAAGACAGGTGCCGAGAGCAGTGTGGAAAAAAAGGGGAACTAGGAAACTGATTGTGAGACTCATTGCTCTGTTGTCCAGTTGATTCGAAAACGCACACTCTGGAATCACTAACTTAGGTATGTGACTTAACAGGCAAACTTATGTCTAATGCCTGATGTATCTGAATATTTATTTAATTATAACATTTAAAACCCTAGTGACCAGTAACTATCACACAGAGAGAAAACGCTCAAAGCTCAGGCTCAGTTTCAAAAATCTGCTCAGCTTTACCTTGCTAGAAGCCAACATTATACACTACATGAAACACTGTTGACACATTGCTCATTTTAATTGAGAAAACATCAGATTTCCTTCTCAGTGTTTTTTTTTTTTCCAATTAACATCTATCAGTCAAACATATCTCTAGTGATGTGTACCCAAAAGTAGCACTTGTTCCAACTGCTCCATATTACAAAAAACCCCACCAGCTGCCAACAGCTATGACGGATTAACCTTTGAAATACCGTGAATGCAACGGGATGTGACATTGGTCCCCAACCCCCGTAGAGTGTCTATTGCCTTAATAAAGTGTGTCTGTGAAGTGTCTCTCTGTTTGTGTGTGTGTCAGGGCAAAAGGCTTGGAGGGGGTTGATGACTGCCTTCTGAGTGAGGAAGTGTGTAACAGTGTGTGACAGTGAGTCATCGATAGTGAGAGCCAGAGCCAGACTCTTCTTAGAAAGCATAAAGCGTGCATGCCCGGACATATCCTTGTCTGTTTATTCATCCGGCTCTCTGGACTTTTTGTGGATCAGTATGATTCTCCAGAGCAGAAGAATTATGACTGGATAGTGGGCAGGCACCAGCATCCTATCCTATTATACTTCGCCAACTTGTCATCTTTTAGTGGATTTCCACAAGTTGTATCAAACATTGATCATCCTTGCCTCAGAGCCGTATATCAGTATCTTCACCTGTGCATACAAAAGATTAAGCCTAATTGGCTAGCACCGTTGCTGATTATGGATTTTCCAGTTCTCGGATGTTGCCCAATTATCAGATGACTTGAACAGATAATTGGTGATTGGGGTCTGAAAAGCCCCCAAAGTCATTCAGCAAGTCAAATACACACAGTCTAGGTGGATTATTTTGTAACATGAATGCTGTGTGTCTAATATGTACCAAGTGGTTATCACAATGGCATTCATTTTTCTACACAGGGCTTTTTATTTGTCTGAATGCCATATCCCAAACCACCAGGAACAGACCTGGGTTGTACGCTAATTTGGCCACAGTCAAAATTGCAGGTCTTTGGCCCAATAAGACTTATAAGACCATACACAGCCACTGCCATCTATTCTGAGGTCATTATTGCAATATAAAACTTTTCAAATGAGAGATTTGTAATTGAATCAAGTTTTTTTCCATCACTACTAACAGTCAGGGGATATGGAGGCCTATCAGTCAACTGATTTTCCACAATTCAGTTCAGTTAATCATTGTACTCTGGAAGCAGCTGTGAGCTTCCTTTCCATGAAGAATACCAATAATGATTCCCCAAATTCCAGTGAGATGTAACCTTGTCAATTTCAGTTACATTCCTCCAGACCTCTACTGAAGAGCTTTAAAGATTACAGAAACAATGGCTTACGTTGAACCTAGCGCCAATTACACTGCAATGGTGCCTAACCTATCACTCATTTTTCCCAGGTGTTTTTGTCGAAAGACTAATACACAGATGGATTCATCTCATCAACAGAGAATGAATGGCTCATATTCAAAGCGTAGGTCTGGATGGCCCCCTCTCTGCGCTTTAAGGCAATTATAGGTCAAACACTTCAGTGCTGGGCTGTTTATATAGTGGTAGGCTTGTGATATATACTTTTTGGGGGCCTGTATTCTGCTGTGAAGTTCAGAAGACTGAGACATTGATATGAAGTATGGTATGTATCTTCTCATTGGGAATTTTGATGACCTGTTGCAGGTAGCTGTTCTGTCTACAATTAAGTAGATAATAAAATATAAATCATTGTTGTTTTGATGTTGGATTTTAAACCCTTTGCGTGCACAGATTGTACTGCCAATCACAAATACAGCTTTTCAGCTTTGAAATACAGTTTACATTGCCTTAGGTTACACAGTGGATGACACACCTATTCTGTCTCCTCTTAAATCTCCAACCACATTAGCAACAGCGCCAGACCAGGAGTAGGGCCCATCATAACAGCTGACATTACAAAATATTTTCAGTGGCTACAGCTCCTTTCCTTGCAAACTCAATGAAAATTTACCCAGAAAGCCAGAACTACATGAGCTGAGCAAAGCCAAGCTCTTGGAGTATCTTAGTTCATTCTCTCCCGGCCTCCCCTCTCTTTCTTTCTGTCTCTTTCTCTTTTTCTTTAATTCACCTCCACTCTGGCCACACACACACTTACAGTACAATAATAAATGTGTTGAGATAATGTGGCTTGGAAACCGTATTCAGTCCTCACTTGATTAAACACTGGAATTTTGCACGGTGCCCAGAAATGAGGTTAGCAAATGGCTTTGTTGGTTGCCAGCTTGGAAATGCACAAAAGGAAATCGAGGGAGAACATAGTGTCTGCTGCTTGCTGGCTTCTAAAAGTGCTTGATGAATGTTAGTGTACGTCACTTGGGATAATGCGAGTTAGCTGTGTGTGGACTCCAAATATGGCTGGAGTGTGGCTGTTAGAGGTTGTAATGACTGCGCTGAAGTGAGAACCCTGCACAGGCCCCTCTCAGAAGGTACACACCTCAGCTCTGCCTTTCCTCTGCAGATGGACTCACAATGAACTCTCAGTTTCACCTCTACCTTGATGTTGCAAGAAGTGTAGATACTCTAAATAGATCACTGATGCAAATCCTTGATCTGTCATCTCTCATTAAAATGCCACTGGCATTATAATTTAAAATGACTATCTCACCAGCATCATTTTGTTTTGTGCATCCTTTGAGGAATTCAAGGACCTGTAGCATAACACATTCAATGTCTTTATGTAATTTAACAATCATTCATTATGTTAGCATAGGAAATGGCCAAAGTGGCTTCTGCTTATAGCACATGATTTATATTTAATGTTGTTTTGTTGTATGTGTGTATATGTGGATTATTTGAGGTTGTTGTTGTTGTTGTTGTTTACATGTTGCATGTATAACACTGTGTCTCTTTTTTGTATTTTTTCCCACAGGCCCTCCTGATGTGGAGCAGGCTTGTGAGCCAAGTGTGCGCACCTGGAGCCCCAATGCAGGGATCGAGCAAGGTGTTGTCGGTCTGTCGGAGTGCCCTCTTCAGGGTTGCATGCTTCAGCTAGAGTTCCACTACCCACTCGTACCAGACTCCCTGACTGTGTGGGTCACCTTCTTCAGCCCTGAGGAAACAGCACTGCCAGCAATCCACAACATCTTGCTACTGACTGTCAGTGGGAATAACATTTCATTGGGCCCCAGTAATGTCTTCTGTGACACCCCACTGACTCTGAAGCTGGACATAGAGGAGGAGGTGTATGGGGTACAGTTTTTCACTATGGAACAACACCTAGAGATTGATGCCACCCTCTTGGCATCCAAGGCAGACTGCACACATTGTAGGCATTGCCAACCACTACGTTACCGACTGTTGCGCCAACCACCCTTTACCCATGCACCACATGGTCTGATGTTGAATGAACCTGCCCGCCGATATACAGACAGGTGAGTGACCTGGTAGGTGAATATTCTTGTATGAGTGCACTAAGATCTACATTAGTCATCACTGACTGGCTGGCTAAATAACAGAGAATAAAGGTTGGGGTTTTGTCATGGTTTGACAAAGAAGAACAAAGCCATACAATAAGTTGGGCATGCTTTGGTTTTATAGTTTTTTTTTTTTATAGTATTTTCTTTTAGAAGTTATATAAATTGCTGAGCAATCAACTTCTAGCTTCCTTTCTTTAGTGTGATGTAATTAGGGATTTTTGGACACACCAGTTAGAAGGTGTTTATCTATCTGTGGAAACTATTCACAAAAATATGTTCTTGTAATACCAGATATCCTTTTCAATACCCCAAGGAGCACTAGCAAGCCATTACTGCTTCTGCAGTTTCAAATCTGCAGCCCAACATTTGTTTCCTAAGTCACAGGTCAATTGTTGCCCACATTTGTTTTTTCCCATGTTCCATGAAGCAAAGGCAAACAGATGGCTTGTTAAAGGTATTATCTGCACACTGTGGTGAGAGTTTAGTGCTTTGCTTTCATGGAATGTGCTGACTCGAGAAAGATTGTGCTATACATGGCACTGCTGGGTGTTATGCCATCTCACAATCGCGCCGTCAGCGTGGTTCACATGAGAAGGAAAGTGCTTGATAAGAGGCGAAAGGGTGAGTATGCATGCTATGCAAGATGCAGTGATGATACCTAAATTCCAGGTCCGCACACAACTTCCTGGTTGAATTGCAATGTCTATGGAAGGTTGTCTGCAGTAGGGATATATTTATTCGGGGTTTTGGCACACTTCAGTGATTATTGATGTACTGTAGGTAGTTTCGCTGCTGTGGTATATTTCACTAGCTGTGGTTGCATTCCAGTGGTAGTGGTCAGTGGCACTGGCTGACTATTTTCTGTTGTGAGAACATATGGGATCTTGTCTCTTTGTCTCTGGTCAGAGACGTTTTTGTAGTATGTATGTTTGAGCAATCAAAATCTTTAACTTATTTAAATGGATAATAAGTGTAACAAAAACATAAAATATATGATGTATTTTGTTTAATTTAAACATAAATATTATGATAAATAAGTAGAGAGAGGGAGGAAATATGTGAGTATATTACTATGTTCTGGGGTCTGTTTGCATGTCATGGGACTACTCAGACAAAAGAAATGCAAAATGTTCCAGTGCAAAGTACTACTGTGGCATTTTTCAACAAACAAATTATGACAAAATGATAAATGCAACAGGAGAACCAAGGGTCAGAAATTAGTCAGAGATGTTATATTTTGTGATGGGGGTTTGATGGCTAAGATAATGGCCCATAACATTCAGTCTCAGAACAAACATAGTCTATGACATGGTGGAGTAAAGAACAGAGTTCACTCAGATATTTTGGCATGCCACCAATCCAATGTTAAGTGCTCTGTTTGATCGCCTTGCTCCAGCTGCTAAAATGCTTTTGCTGACCACACAGCATGCTGCTTCTTCATGCAACATGTTTCCACAGGGCTGGATAGGGTCTTGATGAGGGGGGTGATTGACCTCCCACAGTCAGACCACTGGCCTTCACCTGAGATGGTGCAAACTGAGCAAAAGGACAACTGACAGGCTCCTTTGGCTTCATCCATGGGTGGTGGTTTGTTTGGAATGGCTAAGGGCTAGGAGGTCAGAGTGACAGAGTAAATTACGGTGGGGAGTAAGAAGGGTGAAGTGAAGAGGAGACGCATGGGTGGAAGGTTGGACCAGTTGGGGGTAAATCACTGCTAGGCTCATTGGGGCCAATAGGTGATGGAGGAGAACATTAGGGGGTAGAGAAAATATGAAGAGGATTGGGTTAGTTTGACCCTATGCCTCTGATGTACCCCAGCCCATGGGCTAATCCTCTTCCTGACATGGGCTTCAGAGCTGTCATTCAGTCAAAGCCTATCTGAGAGCTGATGTGAAAAGACCTCCCAGCCAAAAGAGAGAGAGGGAAGCTCCCCTAGCATCACTACCCCACACCCCCTCTGTAATCTGACTCTACCTTGGTTCTGCAAAACTCTTCTCCCATCCATCCCTTAGCTACTCTGCTGACAAGTCTGCTGCTGCTTGAGAACTCGGTTTACCTAATGTTTCCTCTTAAAAAGAAGATGCAAGACCTGCTTGTTTATGTTTTTTGTGCTACACACTTTCTGGGTAATTGTGAAACATAGCCCTGTGCTCCAGCAGGTATCATTGTGAGTACCCTCTGTGTGTACCAAAAAAGCAGCCCAGATACTCTGACTGTACTGTGTCCTGCAATTTTTATAACTTTCTGTAACTGAAAATCCAACATTAATTTCCCTTTCACACAATGATTTGCCAGGTGAGTGGCTCTTTGCAATAGTTCTAAACACTTTGCCTACTGATGTGGTTGGACAACACGTCATGTAAAGTAGTTCTTTTTGAGCATACCACGTCCTTAAGTGTAGAGCCGACTTAATATTTGTTTGGGTGGTACATGGAAAAATGAAAATTGTATTCGTTAAGACAGTTTTGGTTAATTAGCAATATAAATAATTAAGTGTATTTCAAATTTAATCTGTACTTATTTTGAATTTAATATTAGTAGGTAAACTTTTAGTTTTATTGCCAGTAGTTGAAACTATGAAAGTTTTGGCAACACTTTATTTTTTTCATTCCCTCTCATCACTCATTGATTTTACTTCTTAACAATTTCTTCTTTTCATATCAGGCCACACCACCACACCACCCGCTCCCCTGCCTCCCCTTCCCTATAGGATATTGGCCTTGCGTAATCCTCCTAATATGAACCATTCATGAGTTGCAGACAGAGTGAATAGTGTAGTCCTCATGGGGAGTCATGGGATGTCTGGTGCACTCACCAGCTTTTCCCCAGCATAGGAAACAGACAAATTATATAGGAATAAATCAGGACTACTCTAAGAAATTGGATATCAAAAGTGTGTTTGCAGGTTTGTTAGTGTGGATGTTCAAGAATAAGGTTGAATTTCTTGGGCAGAGGCTGCACTGGAGATCACTTTGTCTTTTTTGTGTAAAGATAAAAATTATACACTTAGCAGGCCAATGCATTATTAACAACAAACTTTACCTTGGTAGTATTTATGTATTTGCATATGTTGGGGAATACCAATGATATGTATTGTAGTGCAAGTAAGGGTTTGGGGGTTAGCTGGATGGAAGCCATGATTGAGGTAAGTGGTCAGGGAGGACTGGGATATCTTTCTGTCTTTAGTTTAATTTTATTGATGACGTAACAGCAGCTCTTAATGCAAACACAAACTGTTGATATAGCTATAGCAAAACAGACGGCCTCTGTAAATGCATGCATTTGGCATTAAAATGATCTCCTGGCTCTATTAAATTCCTTTTTTAGACCTCTCTTTAAAGTACCTCTCTAAACATGTATCATTAGTTTGTTAGACATACTGTAGTGTAAAATTAATAGCAGTAAAACCTCAAATCCATGTCAGCTGCCACACTGACAAAAGGAGTATTGCCCTGTTTGTTGTTCTTGCAGGCTCAATCTATGATATTTTCTCAACGTCCTTAAATTTATCTGCTCTTCTCATCTGGGATCTCTCAGCCAAGAACAACAAGCAGCTACAGAACGGAAACACATCCATATGCATGCTCACACATAAGCCTAGTGCACACATAATTGAAGGCAGGAACACACACAGATGAACACAGACACACACCAACACTCTTAGTAGCAGGCACATACATTAGCACATGCTTCTATGTCGTAATCACCTGCTGCTATCAAAACACCTTTGAAAGGCATATACGGTGCCTTGTGCCTGACTTTGAGTGCAAGCCAAGATAAAACCTCTCTACCTACAGGGGTCTTAAGAAGAATGTCTGGATGCACAAAGAGGCACCAATGATGAAATCTTATCACGTGACACATTGTCTGTGTCCTAGTATGAGTATCAGTTACATATCATATCTAATAAGTAACAGATGAAAGTGTGGTCTTATAAAGTTTGATTGTCTCTTAGAAGCCATGTCTATCACTGGATATTATCCATCATCCACATGTCAAATGATTGTTCTACCTCAAGTGAGGCCTAGAGATGATCCTGGCTAGAAACTCTTTCACAAATTTCAATGTAAATGTTGTTCTTATACATCCCACTTACGTATCATCTTTATATGGGCTGACTCAAGTTAAACCCTTCAGAGTCAGAGTAGGAAGGGTCATGACTTTGTTATCCTGGAGGGAAAAAAAGAAAAAGGGCTAATAAATGATGTGGTATTGGACGGTGCATAGACATGCATACTTGCCAATACCATATACTGTATCGAAGGCAATATCGGCCATGGGGAGCAAAACAAACAGGGATACGCAGGAAATCCAATAAGGGTATCAGTATCTGAACAACTCTAGTTCTAATGGATGGACAATTCATAGAACTGTGTTACCCTCTGTTTTATTCTTTCCTTCCTAACACAGCATGAGTGACGTCAGGAGGAATCAAGCATGCAACTAATTGGGAACAGGGTGAAAGCCATGTCTAAACAGTTGTCACCACTATTAGAAGTAGCACTATTGAACCTATATAACCAAGGTACCATATGTTGCTTAGCAGCATACTTTCACTTTCAGTCCAGAACAGTATGAAGAAACACTACTGGAGTAGATCATGGATATTTCCTTGGATCTGAAACATCTGCAGTCTGTTGAGAAATACTTAATAAATAATGTTTTACCATGGCATGACCTTTTTAAACTATGTAACAAACAGAAAGACCATAATACTGATGATAGCCAATTGCTTCTCCTGTGAAGCACAAATGCCATTTGATAGCTTTGATGGGGGCAATGACTAGCTTTGTGTTTGCTCTGTGAATGAGGCGCTATCTGTGTAATGAGTAATCATGTAACTCAGAAGGCTATACAGACCTAAACAGTTAGATTTGAGAAGTTCTGTTGTGTTCTGATGGAGTCCTTTGCCTAGGAAAGGTTTACCTAGATGCTATGCTCGGAGACATTTTATCTGGGACCACAGAGAAAGGCCAAAGTGCCTTCATGTGTGACAGGGCAGACGAGTGTAGAATCAAGGCCTGCAGGCACTTTGATAGGGTCAGGGAGCTGTCTATGTCGTAACAGTTAGTGATCCTTGGTGTAGTCTGGAGAAATATTTTAGGATGGTATAGGTCTGGCAGAGCCCAGTGATTGGTGTTTTAAATTGAAGCAATGAACCTTAAAGGTAAGGAAAGGACTTTTAGTGCAAAAACTTCTGGAGCTGTTCAGTCAACCTAAGACTTTAACTGCTCTAAAGTGTTTGCAGTAGGCTGCTATTGACACGGCTCACTGGTTTTCAGTTCTTAGCCTAGACAGACTTGCAAAAGAAAATCAACGTGGACTGTGGACGCAAACCACAACCTGTGGTCGACCTTGGTTGTCATCCACCTCAGCTTTCCCCTTAAGACTTTTGTGGCGGTACATCAACATCACGCTACTTCCACTTTAGCTGCTGAAAGAGGACCATCGTTATTCCCAGGACTGCATGACATAGCTTGACGGGAAAATTGTGAACAATGTTGTCATTTTTCAGGGTTCTATGGTCACCAAATCCCCAATAACTGGGTGCAGCAGGAGTAAGTAAACATCAGCTGACTCAAAGCTATTGGGAGAGCACTATCTTGATTCTCACTACTCGTGGGAAGACCAATGGAATAAACTTGAGCGTAATTTGAAATAGACGACTATTACCTCATCATTTTTTCCACAGAAGTCCCCCTGCCCTATATATACGCAACTTCTCTAGACCTTATTTTAGAAGTCATCATTTACTCCACCCTTTTCAAATCTCTTCTTTCAGTTGATTTTTTTCCCATGGATTTGCTCCATGTATTTTCCTGTTCTACTCCCCGTTTATCTCATCCTCAGACAGATCTAGCCACTTGTCTCTTTGTTCTTGCCTATTCTTGCATGACCATGTCTCTCAGTGTGGCCCGATCAAGCAGTGCAATTATTTTTTTGTGCATTGGTTTACCTACAGTATGATAGCCAGAATTTCTCATTATCCACAAAAAGGAAATTCATGTGCTGCCTTGCTGCACAGCAATATCTGTTTCACTCTTCTTTCCGTCTATTCTGTGTATTTGCTCTCCTCAAAGATAAAGTCTCCCACAGCTTGACTTTTCCAGGGGCTAAACTAATTCAATTAGAGGGGGCATGTTTGAGTGTAGCCTGGAGTTGCATCAGCATGAGCCAACATTGCAGAACAGGACATACTGTAATATAAAAGAGAATATGTCAGGTCAAACATTCTGTGTTGATAATAATAAAGCCAACATAAATACCTAATCCTAGGCACACATTTTGCTGTGGGGAAATTCATTTTGTTACTTGATCTTTAGGTCCATCATTTTTTTCATATTTGGGACAGCACAGCTAACTTGAACTTGGTCTACTTTCATCTGCTGGGAATGTGATGAACAAACACAGGAGAAATGGAGAAATGAAGATGAGGGAAACAAAAACAAAAGCTGTGGACCATGAAGTGTCATGAAGAAAATAACCTTTCCTGTTGTAAATCTTTTGTTTGTGTATTTTAACATGAATCACTACATGAAGAACATGAGAGCATGTATACATGCAAGCAAACACTAAACACACACTTGTACCGCTCTCATGCAATGCAGTATATTTGTATTATTATATGTTTGTACATGGGTATGTTGAATTCCTTCCTCTTTGATGAAACATTTAATAACATTCTGGTGTTCCTGGAATGCCCTTATATAGTACTTTTCTACCTTAATGGACAAAGTGCTCTAATTTAGCCATTCACACACACTTAAAAGGTATTTTGTGTGTGTGTGTGTATGTGTGTGTGCCAGCATGTATGTATATATGGGTCCATGTGTGTGAGTTGCTTTGTGTGATGGGCATATGAATCCATGAATGTACAGCATTGCAGAGGGCATTCAATAATTTGGTTTATGGTATATGATGGTCCACATGTAATGATCTATAGCTAACCTATTGGTCTTATTTATCCTCATTTGATGTTGTTCCCCATCCTTATACCTGATTGTTGCTATGTACTTAACTAATACTAGCCATGATTATACACAACAATTACAGATTCCTATCCTCTAACAGAGAGAACATACAGCATCCATTACACTCACTCATGTTCTCTATTAGTCCTGTCATACTAACGCATACCAAAAATGAAACTGCTGGGATTTTTTGAAACATTGAACTTTCTTACTGATATTCTTTAATTCCATATTGTGTTTTAGATTAAATTAAGTAAGATTATAAAGGAATTGCTAGAACTTCATAGTCGATATTTATTGTTTTGTTAGCTTTTAGAACAGTTCCTTTTGCAGTCCATTGGTCAAAGTATATTTTTCCAGCATGAAGAAACGTCACACGAGCACAACTACACCAATAAATGACAATAAATGTAAACTGTGACGTGTCAATATTCAGACAACAGTCAATGCATAATATAATATAGAATTCACAAAATAACATAGCCCTAAAACATTTTTTCATGAGTTCATTATTTTGTTACCTCTGGATAACAAAGGTTATTTTCTCATAATAACAGGTTAATTTATCTGTGGCCGATTTTCCAAGATAACAATAATATACACTTCATAAGATCAATAAGAGTGCACCACGACATTATGGCACAATTACCTTGAAATCATGAGATAACGACATTAAAAATGTTTTTGAATCCATGACCGTTTAGGGCGTTCGTAACATACATGGTATGTCTGAATCAAAATTAGAACAGAATGATGTCTTAACCTTGGTCTTCAGTCTTGTTTACATATATGCTCACAAACACACATGCACAATGTAGGATCTAAAACTCTGAAAGCCAAAAAAGAAAACCATGAAGGAGAAACCATAACCATAAACGACAAATCAAAACTAGAAATGAGAAACCAAAACTATAAGCAAAAGGGGAAAAAAAGTCAAAACAGAAAGAAAACTGTTAACAATACAGTTGCAAATGAGAGTGCTGATTTGAAAATCAGTTATCCTGTTTTTATCATTTATAACAGTCAAAAATAGATAAATACATACATAAACTCTCAGATTATTTGCTTGCCTTTACATGTTTTTTGTGTTACCTTTCTTCTTAGTTCCATTTCCTGTTAAGAAAGTTGTTGACATGAAACGACACATAATGTGGATTTCTAAAACAGGCTACTTGCCTCAGCTCCATGTTTCTGAGCAATTAAAGCAGAAGATTTGTGATGAGTCTGAAGAGACCCATAATGTGTGCCATTCACTTGATCAGTGGCTTACAGGAACCAGTAAGCCTGCCCATAGTTAAAACAGGGCCAGAATCCAACAGAAACTATTAAAACGTATGGTAATACAAGTATAACATGTAAAGGCAAACCACAGATCAGAGAGAAAAAAGTAAGCAATGATAATGATAAAAACATAATGATAAAAACAGGAGAACTGATGTCATGACAGCACCCTCACTTGCACTGTTGTTGTTTCTCAGTGACAGTTTTCTTTTCTTGAGTTTTGTTTTGTTGCTTTGTTTATGGCTTTGGTTTCTCATTTACAGCTTTGATTTTTTTTTGTTTATGGTTTTGGTTTTCTCATTTATGTTTTTTTTCCTTTCAGACTTTTATTTCAGACTTCCTTATCATGGTGACTCAAGAAACCATCATGGCGACTTACACCGGCAAAGTGAGTAGTCCCCCAATATTTCTCCTGTCCATTGTGTATTCATCATGATGGTTCTTTGAATCACTATGATAAGGAAACAAAAAAAAAAGCTGGACCCAAAACGAGTAAACGCAGCCATATCAGTGTATGACTGGATAGGTAGATGTGCGGAAGTGTGTGCTGAGACAGATGTTTTTATCTGTGTTGGCTAGCGATACTTTAGTTACTAAACAATTTCTATAATACACACTTAATCTCTAGCAAACAGATCCTATCAACCTCCACAGGACTGGTCCGAGTCTCTTTTTCAATATACGAGCTTTCATTGTTTTTTCCCCCCATATGTGATTCTTTACCAGACATTCCTTCAAGGCTTCACATTATCCCGAAATATGTGGACTCACTGGGATTTTTGCTTCTCTTTGTGCAGGGATGTGATGCCACATGTTGTGTACACCTACCAGGTCCAAACTATCTCTGGCCGGAGCGAGAGTGAACCCTCCCCACCTCTGGTGCATGAATTGGGGGAACACTACTGTGGTGATGGACGCATCCAGAGGTAACAGGCACCTACACTCACATGATCAAAATGTATATACTAAATTACACCCATACAGATGTGCGTGTGTCTTCTTTTTCATAAAGAAAACAACCCTAAATCAGTTTGGTAATGTGTATGTGGATGTTTTCTGAGTAATGCCTCCTGCTGTTTTAGTTCCAAAGGAGAAGAATGTGATGATAAGAACTCTATGAATGGGGACGGCTGCTCCAGTCAGTGCAAGAAAGAGCCCTTCTTCAATTGTATTGGTAAGTCATATGTTGTCAAAGTTGTAATAGGAATGCTTGCTCCCTGGTTTATTTCTCTGGATTGCTGTTGAGGAAAATACTGGAAATAGAAGAGAGTTTGTTTACCTTCAGTTTACCTTGTGTGACATGTATCAGGGCGTTGCTTGTGTAGTAAATTAAGTCAGGACTTACACAGTGGGATGTGTGCAAATAATATATCATATGTGTAAATGGCTTGTAATATGGATGTGTTAACATTTATCAAGTTAAAATTTGACTGCCAGTTTCTTATGTAACATTTCAATTCTGGGTTCTTCTCTGTCCTGATATTGTTTTCTGTTTGGATTTAAGAAAGACTGCATAGTTGTCGATGAGACACAGAGGCTAACTTTGTGAATGGACAAATTTGACATGTAGGCATCTTTTATCCAAGTATGTCATGCCTTTCTCAAAAAAATGAATATATCATAGATATAATCACTTTGAATTCCTGCTTAAAAAAAATCTGGAAATCATTGCATCTCCTATATTGTTTTCAATGAATAGAGGGATGGGTTCTTGTCCAGTTCCCCGCTGTCTTGCAATCATTTTGCCCCCTGTTGTGATTGTGTGTGTGTGTGTGTGTGTGTGTTTGTGAATGTACAGTACATGAATGCACACACGTGTGAGCCTCTGTGAAGTGGCCACTTAATCCATGTCAGATTGCTGGATGACTGCATTGGCTGTGCTGTTTTTCCACCAACTGCAGTGCTCAGGGGTGTGTGTGTGTGTGTGTGTGTGTGTGTGTGTGTGTGTGTGTGTGTGTGTGTGTGTGTGTGTGTGTGTGTGTGTGTGTGTGTCTGACACTGTCTGACATAGTTGTAGTTTTGCGCAGAAATCTGACACTATAATGATGGGACCTTCTGTCCATCTGTCTGTATGTGTGAGAGAGTGCCTGCTTGTCAGTGTGCTGGATAGTGAAAGAGAGAGTTGGATGGAGAATTGACAGTAAGTATACAACAGGGCCAGGGTGCTACGGTCTGGATGAGCTTTAATAGGCTATTCACACGATTGAGCCGAATTATATCTGGAATTGACGAAATCGACAAGTTCTTTTCACATGACCCCACCTGGCGTTACAATCCCAGTGGTCTTTTCTCAATAGGGCTTCTAGCTATAGTAAACACAGGTGCAGATAAAGCATAAAAGAAATGCAATCTCATATTCTTGCTACCACAAAAGTGATGGTTTGAGAAGGTCAGATTTTCCCTGCTTTGACATATTGACAATGTAGCTTGTGGTTCTGTCTTGGAAAAAACACAAAAAAACCCACCAAACCAAAAAACAAAAACAAAACAGGTATAGTTTGATCAGACAGCCTCTGGACCTTTCTTTTCTCTGGCTGTCTATCCGTCTTGTTAATCTCATCCCTCTGGTTCTTTCTCGAACTGTAGGGCTCTCTCCTTTTTGCTCTTGCACTCGATCACCTTTCCACTTTTTCCGTTATCTGTTTATTCTATCCCTGTCCAAATTCAAATACTGTACTCTTTCTTGCTCCTTTTCCATCCCTTTCTCTCCTTTTCTCTCTTTAGCTCATGTTCTACCTATTACTTCTTCAGTTTTCACAAGCCACTGTTTGAGCTTCCTCTTGACTCACTCTCACTCCTTCCCTTCTTCTGTTCCTACTGAGTGAGTGGCGGGAGCGTATTCTGTATGCCCCCTCAGTAGCCCCTCGTTTCACCATTGCCAGAGCACAGAACTGACTTGAGTTTTTGGCTGTGCTGGAGAGGGCTGGAATTTCAAGGAGGAGGCCCCGGCCAACTTGGCACAGAATGCCGCCTTTCCCCCTAACTGGAACCCCACCGGCTGACACTGCTTTAGCTGAGAGCTGAGAGCAATGAGGCCCAGGCAACCTCCCTGCTCTGCTCCCCTCTCCTCCAGTCCATAAGCTTCCAGTTCCAGACCTTAACTCCGGGTGGGACATCTGTAAAAATTACGGCTGTATCTTTCTTTACCTCTTGACTTTGTCTGGTTCCCCCTACCTCCCTCCTCCCCCTGTGTTTGTCTCGCTCGCTCTCATTTTATCGCTCTCTCCCTTTCATTCTTTGTGTTTGTGTCTTTCTTCCCGATTTGTTAACATATACTATCATCTCTGTTTGTAGATCCTCACACTCAAGAATTGATCCTCCTTTTTCCATGAACCTTTTATCCTTTACCTTTCTCGCCCATGTTTATCTGGTCCTCTCCCTCATCACCCTCTAAAATAATAGAGATAAGGTTAGAAATACTATCCCATGGCGGGGGATATGGAGAACTGACTGGTATTTTAACTGTACTCAATACAATAATAACTGTACTGAAAAAGTCACTTGTACTACACAGGTAAAACTCACAGAAAGATGCATTTGAAAGTACATCTCTTTTCTGTTTTCTGTTCACCTGCAGAGGAGCCAAGCATGTGTTACTACTATGATGGTGATGGGGTGTGTGAGGACTTTGAGCGAGAGACGGGCGTGAGAGATTGTGGCCTCTACACCCCCAATGGTTTCCTCGACCAGTGGGCCTCCACTGTCGAAGTTTCCCATGAGAAGAAACCCTACTGCTCTGGTGAGGTGGCCGCTGGATACCCTGCTGTTACTAAGGTAAGGCCATACAGAGTTTGCCCTGTGTACAGTGTATATATACACACACGTTATGGAATTTGTGATAAATTTTTGCATTTTTTTAAAATATGTGTGATTATTACACATTACAGTTTATCTCAGTTAAATGAGAAAAACTGTTTGATGTAATTGTATCACATCAGAGGTTAACAAGCATTAAAATCAATGAAAAAGGACATGAAATCAAGTATCTTATTAACCAACCTATCAACAAGTCAGTCAACAAATCAGATCATAAATTGGTCATTACAAATAGGCATTCTCCTTCAGTGCTCAGGGCATGGTCTTTGATTTGTTGGTGATTTGGTATTATTGCTTTCCAAACCATTAATCAATTTACATATTGATGATAATGAAGCCTCAATTTTTGGGAGACACATGCTAAACAACTTATTTTGCTTGTTTGCACGTTAAGTGATTTTAGCAATTGGGACATTTAATTAGATGTCTCCCAGGGTGAGTGCAGAAGTTTGCTGCTCTCATTAAAGTAATGCTTATTGAAGACGAAAGAAGAAGCCATTGATTCCAACTAAGCCTGGTGGAAGCATTGATCTGTTGCTGTTGCAACATAGAAAGGAGCTGATTGCCCAAAACATTAGGGTGAGGCATATGTTCATGTCACACACACACACACACACACACACACACACACACACACACACACACACACACACAAAGCTTGGGACACATAGAAGTGCATTTGGCTCAGTCCAATTTAATCCCCTCTTCCTAATATGGATTGTCAAAGCTAAGGCATGTTGCTGAAGTATACTATCTCCTTTAATACCCTATTTGTAATTTTAATTCATCATTGTGTAATTCCTTAATAGCTTTCATGGTATTAAAATGCTAAAACAAAGATTCTGCAGTATCTTGCTTTGAGTGACACCAATATCCGTTGTTAAATTGTAAGCTCATATCCCTGCAGAGGAGAGACATTGTGTTAAAGTTGTTAGGCTTCACGCCCCTTCACTGACAGTGCTCTCTCTTCAGAGGCATGTGTGTGATGTTGGAAGTGTGTGTTGTTGGCTGCAGAGCTTGTTCTCACTGCTGATGATGCATTTTACAAGGCCAATGAACTAGGAATTCTTGAACAGCTGTGGTCAGCTGCCTTGCTCAAGAACACTTTGGCAAGGATTTACGAAAAACCAAGGTAGAAGATTAACCGACACCATTTAATGCATGTGATATTTATATGGCACCACTTCTGTCTGAGCGAAAAAGAGTTCCAACCAACAACACTGCAGATGGTTTATTCTCTGAGAGGAATGAGACACCAGTGGAACATGTCCATGTAACCATAAAGAAAGGATTTCTGCTGTGAAAGACACATTGTTCATACAAAAAGCACTTTTACTGTGGAGAACACACTGTTCCCCAAGGGTCATATGTGGTGAGATCACCTCATTACAAGGCCACTGACTGTATACTCTATGTGGACACACAAGTGCATGTGCATGTGTGGAAAATATGCAAACACAGGTTAACATAACACAACGGTCTTGTCATTACCTCTCTCTGCCTCTTCATCTCCTCTATTCACTCTGTGTAAATTCTCACACACTTTGTCATCTATCCAATACATTGTGAGTTGAAAAGCATGTAGGTACACGGTTACATCAAGAACTGTTTCCTCAAAGCCCATTCCTCTCACCAACGTCAGTCCATGTACATGTAATCACTGACATTTATTTTTCCACTCCAATAACGTGGAGCATCAAATGCCATCTCTTCAACTCCCAATGAACTTTGATTACACTGTGTCCTTGCAGTTGCGAGCATATGCACACACCACACACACACACACACACACACACACACACACACACACACACACACACACACACACACACCAAAAACTGCTCGCACAAAATGCACACACAATCATGCACACTTGTTTGCTTATGCTGGTCCCTCTTGGAAAACAAAGATAACATAACAAGGCCCCAAATAACTGAGTTGAGATTTTCATTCAGGCAATGCTTCTAAGCAATTGTACAATTGCATGCATGTGGCTATGGCGACTGTCCTGAAGGCTCATGCCACAGATGAGGCATGTGAGGATTGGTTCGGGAGATGAAGAACAGGCAGTGGGCTTGCATGGCTCCAGTTTAAATGTGGCCACTTTGGAACAACATATAAAATACCACAGTAGCTGATCAGTAGCAAAACAAGATTATTGAAGATGTTACCTACTTTGAAGGAGCTTTTGGTTATGCCTTGCAGCTGGTATTTTAATAACTGTTTTGCCGACAATCAGCCGTGATGCCAGCTAGGAATCAGCCATAGAGTGCCCAATGAATAGTAATTTTTCAGGCATCTGGATTGCATTCTCTATCTTAAGTACTTTATTCTAGTTTTCTGAGTTTGTTGGTGATTGCTTACATAAGGGGTTGGATTTTTTTGATGGAAAAGGATGGGAACGGCTAATATGCATTTGATATGATAACACCCAGGAGAACCAAAGTCCAAGCCTCAGAGCTGCAAAGTTACTTGTGATGGTATACTAATCTACCATCTTTGTTGATATTTTCATGTCATTTTTCTGAGCAGTGTAGTCTGCCAAAAGCACTGTGGCTTTGCTGATTCAGACTCAGATATTGCCCTTGACAGGGAGCTAGAAAGCAGTTGGGGTGGTGAATTGTTTGCGAACTTTGAAATGACTGTCATCATTATTAAAACGTTGAAGATTGAAAAATGGCAACTGCGGATGGGGTGCAGGGTTTACTTTCTGTATTCAAGGGAGGCAACACAAGATGGATTGCTTTTTGTGTAATTTACATTTGACCTGGAAAAAGAGTATGAACTCAGCTCATACAGTCACCTTATTGCAGCTTGTACAGCTTATGTTGTGTTGGAACATAGTTGGATGTTGTTATATGAATGAGAAGTATGCCTTCTGCGGGTAACAGATAAATAAGTGTAGTCTGCATACCATCGTGGAGGTGTGTAAGGACATAGACAAGTTTTCAGCAGAATTCTTGGGATTTGATTGGTCTACAGAAATAAATACTGGTTTTAGTATGGTGAAACCAGCATACTGTAGTTACCTTTGTTTTTTCTTGCTCTTAACGTTCATACCAGCACCCATTTTTCTGAAATCACAAAAATGTATGGAATAGCTACATTAGCAACATTTTTTGGAAGAGCTTGACACTTGCTAGGATTTACACAGCAATAGAAAGCAGAGGACTTGTATTACTCAGTTCATTGTCATGGAATTACTTGCCACTTTAAGGCAAACAAGGCTGTCAGAAGTCCACCAATATTGTAATTTGTTATGGCACATTAATGAATAAAGTGAATATATTGAATCTGTGGAGTAGAAAAGGTTTTAATTATGCTAGGACTCTACTTAATCATCATCCTTTGCATAATGTCTTCTTTAAGTCACCACAGTATAAATGTACGGCACGTTGCGACATGGTATCTTTTCTTAAGACACAACTGTTGAGACCGTTGAGTGACTATGCATAAATAAGCTTAAGGGTGACCCTGTCAGGAGCTTGGCTGCTGGTCGAAAGGCTCTTGGGTTACATAGCATTTACAATGTGGTTACAACACACACATTTTCTCTTTGTCATTCACCCATTCCTGGTATACTAAGTTTACAGTAATTAAAGTTGCACGGACCATGATACTAAATGACTACGGCAAGATTCGTTTGCTTGACAGGATCAACAGAGATATAGAGGGGGCAGCTCATTTCTTGTTGAGGACTTGGCACATAGAGTAACCCTTTGATCTCATGCAACCACACCCCAGAGACAATGTCATTACCACGGCACAAAGCCAAAATGACAGCAAAGTTCTCTGCTGGAGTTAGTGTCTGGTTAACCACTAGCATCCATCCCACAGTATGTACCATTATTCTTCTTCTAGTGGTTTTGTGTGTGCTGGTGTGTGTGTTCGTATCTGAGAGAGAAAAAGACAGAGATGAATAAAGAGAGAGAGGCAAACTGAGGCCCAGAAATAGGTTAAAAGTGCAAAGAGAGTGTACAAAAAAACCCAACATTAAGTGTCTTAGTAAGGTGTTGGGCCACCACAAGCCACCAGAACAGCTTCAGTTTTCCTTAGCTTCTCAAAATCTCTAGATCCCTACAGACAGACAGACAGACAGACAGACAGACAGACAGACAGGCAGGCAGGCAGGCAGGCAGGCAGGCAGGCAGGCAGGCAGGACAGACAGACAGACAGACAGACAGACAGACAGATAGATAGATAGATAGATAGATAGATAGATAGATAGATAGATAGATAGATAGATAGATAGATGTAGCCATTTGTATCTACAAGGAAGCAGATCCTTTGAACCAGAGCCATATTCTGTCTAATATTTACTTAATAATATGCATTTAAATATACAAATGCAAGTGCAAAAAAAGAACCTGTTGTTTCAAAACGACATATGTATATGTTCAAGTGACAAAGCCCTTTACCGGCCATAGTAATTATGACTTTTGGAGCAAAGATGGAAAGGATGATGTTGTTATAGAGCCACAAAGTTCACAAAGAGGCGGGAATAGATAGAGCAGCAAAATGTTAGTTTTTGGCACAGGAGACCGATGTTCATGTCCTGTTTTTGACCAAAAGCCAGCAATGATTTCTTTTAACCATGACCACAATCTTCCCTAACCCATACCAAGTCATTTTTGTTCCTAAACCAGATCATTAAAAAATTGTTTTATTTTTGCAGCAAGGATTTGTAATGGAAGGAACTTAAAAATTAACCATCTTGCTGATAGGGGTTCAGATTAAAAAACGCTTGTGTGTCGTTCTGGAGCAAACACAAACAACGGATTTTGTTGGGTCTTTTGTAGGACTTTTTCTTTTTACTGCCAGAAATTTCACTTTGCCACTTGTATTCAGTCTTGTGTTTACTTTGACTTAGTACCATGATGTCAAGCAGTTAAAAAAGCTGCCAGTGAAAGTGAGCCTGTACTAGTTGGATTTGTTATAGTACTATCAGAAACCAACAG